GGTTTTATTTGAACACTTTATTATGACATCGTAAAGTGATGAATAAAAACACTAAACAAATGGTTGTTTTGGATCGTTTTATTCGTAGGCCTAGAGGCGAGGTATAGCCTAGGTAACATCGTTCGTTCATACATACGTTTAATGAGCGTTACGTCCATTTTAGGTCAAAGGTTACCACAAATTTAAACCAAACTCTATTTTACGAATCCCCTGATTTACGTATGCCCTCCCGTACCGTACGTAAAATTGAGGTTCTACTGTACTTGCAGGGAGACATCTTCATTAATGTTATAGCATTTGTCGAAAAGGTATTTAGAAAAGTGGCGCTATTGCAATTATTATTTTTCTCCTTGTCTTTAGGAGATTTGTGAAGATCCAAAGTTACTCGTTGAGGGAGCCGATAGTGGTGATGTTGACCAAGGGGCGCTGGGTAATTGCTGGTTTGTAGCAGCATCATCTAGCCTCGCGCTACACCAAGAAATATTTGATAAGGTACGGGAAAATTCACCTAGCGTTTGACCTATCTGAAAAAGGTTGTACAGTAGATTTATGCGAGATGAATGGCACAGGAACACAGAAACTATAGCCATAATATCGGCTCTGGTATAAGCAGAACACTTGCTTATGGTTGTTGTGGTGGAATAAGTCTTATGATAAGGACAAAACTGTAGGCCTAGTGTACACAATTAGGCTTGATCAATTTAAAGAACCCATTACATTTTTGGAGATGAGTAGGGGTGTTACCCCTGTGTACTGGTCCATGCAACTCCTGTTGTGGTCAGATGAGAGTAGCTGGTACCTGTTTACCGGGTAGCTTAGACATGAAGAGAACCTAGTGGAGAATGAAGTTACTGTATGAGTTAATCCACACTTCAAGCACTTTGAAAATTCTAGAAACCATGCGATAAATGCTACCTTCTGTATCTCCACAGGTCATACCTAAAATTAGCGAACAGGAATGGGACAAGGATAATCCAGAACGCTACTGCGGGGCTTTCAGGTTTCGGTTTTGGCGGTTCGGATCATGGTTAGAAGTTGTTATCGATGATCGTCTGCCAACAGTTAATGGTGAACTCATGTTCATACACTCGCAGTCCAGAAACGAGTTCTGGTCAGCTCTCCTTGAGAAAGCTTATGCCAAGTGAGTTTTGTCATCGATATATATATACAATATTTTGTTTCTATTTATTTTTTCTAGAGAATAGCTTGTCGGCTACACTCTTGATAGCTGCTATGTGTTGGAAGGGTAGGAAACAAGATATAACAAAAGTCCCCCCTAAGTAAATAATCTAAGCACATTTCCAGTTGTTTCATTCCTACATTTTATAAGGGACTTACCATGCCAAAACTAGCAAATTAATATTAAGCTTACCTTGATACTGGAATGGACTTAAGCCGCAATCGCACTGGATTTAAAATAGGGAAAGTTTTACCGAGACTGTGGGTAACATTCCAATGGGTAAACTTCCTGTCGTTCGCACTGGGATTTATCGACGTGGTTCGTTTTACCACAGGCCATGGTGAAACTAACCATTCGTACAGATTCAATTATTGGGGGCGCTAAATCGTGACGTTCACTTCCGGTATGTGTGGCAAAACAATTAACGAAAGCAC